AATAAATAAATAAATTAGAAATCTTGCTCACCCAATCTTCCCACAAAAACATGAAAAATTCTACTAATATGGACATTCTGTGATCCTGGTTCCAGGGCCTTTGCACAAGATGGCAACAGTCAAAGAATAAACTCTGCCAATTTAATAACCACATTGAGAGAGAGAGAGAGAGAGAAGAAAGGTATCATGCATTCACTTCAGGGGTCATACCACCAGAAGGAGCTTTACTGCCCCTTTGAGAATTTCGCTTAGTTGAGACAAGCGAACTACTGTTCTCAGCCTCGTCAATGGACAATGCAGCACCCGATTTCTCAATGTCGAAAGATTTGAACACGGGATGTAAGTAAGCATCTTGTAAATAAGCTTTCAAGTCCAAGTTTGGCTCCGTTGCCCTTTCTAATGTGTCCTTCACCATTGTGTCCTGTCCCGACAAAGAAACATAAAAATCATAATTTTTTCTTTTAAAAAAATTACGAAACAGAAAATTCTTGCCCACTAAATTTTCATTTGTTAGATGGCTTGAGCTAAGTGATGCACATTCATAGTTCAGGCCTTCAGGGGATAAAATCATAGAATTGCTAAAAATGGAAAAGTTAGTGAAGAGTTCAAAGACCCCATAGGCTATAATTAGAAGGCATAAGAGTAAAATTTGATCATTATTGTTTATGTAATTTAACATTATACCATATAATACTCGGCCGAAAATTAATAAATATTTCTTATAAAAGATTTGATGTCAGTAAGGCTGCGTTTGGTAAGCATATAAGCTAGCTTATAGTTTATTTGATTAGCTTATAACGTATTCAAATAAGTTTGGTTTGGTAGGACGAGCTTTTTTAAAAAGCTTGAGTTTATCTCATAAGCTTCTTCGTAGGTAGCTTTTCAAATAATCCCATTGAAATTTTTATTTTAGCTAGCTTATCAATTAAATTTACAAAAGACTTATATCATATACGCTAGCTTTTCAGCCATAATTCATAAGTTATCAGTTATAAGCTTTACTTAAAAGTTATAAGCTAGCTTATCAGCTAGGCTTGCCAAACATAGTCTAAAATGACCTTCAACTGACCTGCAGTGGGAACTTAACAAAAGCCGACTCAAAACGCCCCTTGCAAAAGTGATGAAACCAGACGGTCAAGACGGGTAGTACAAGTAACACTGGAGTCGATTGGGCAATGCCTTTTGTGCTCAGTAAACCCATCAGAAGTAATTGTGCAATTATTTGACCTATTATAATACGTCGATGAACGTCTGGCCAAAATGCAGCACCACTCTCATACTTCTGGTCGTAAACGTTGATGATCTAGTGTATATTGAACCAAAATGCAAAAATTATCAGATCACAATTTTATTCAGAAGGCTAAATTGCATTTTTTTAGTCCTTCTCGTTTAACGCCATAGCATTTTTTATCCCAACATTGTAACATTTTGACTGGTCCTATGGTTTAATATTTTGCTTTAATTTCAGTCATTTGAGCACTAAAATTGCAACAAATTTCTAAATCTTATTAGCAATTAAGTTCTATAATTTAAAATTTTGTTGCAATTTCAAATTAAATCATAGTATCAAAAGGCGAAAAGTTGGAACATTGGAACTAAAATTACTACGGCGTTAAACCAAGCTGACTAAAAATGCATTTTTGCCTATCCAGAATATTGGAAACTGCACGCCTTATCAAGAATTGCATAGAGAAGATAGTTGAGAAAAATTCCGGTTTGTCTCTTAAAATTATGAAAAAACACTTTAAATCGTCAAATCACAACTCTCTCTTGGGGAAGTTGCATTGCAAATTTGCAATACCTTACAGATACCTCCCTCTTGAATGGGCAGTTTGTAAATTAGTTAAAAAAAAAAAAAA